AGAGAAAAGAGAGAAAAGAGAGAAAAGAGAGAAAAGAGAAAAGAGAAAAGAGAAAAAGAAACCCACAGATTCTTTAATCAAACTGAAGCTCAACCCAGGAAGAGGCAGAACTGGCCATTACTAAAGCACCCCAGATTACAGCTTTGCCCATCATACGGATTTGGGAGTGACGGGGGAAGTGTTCCCAAAATAACCGGCTCGGTCTCAGCGCCGCTTGCTCTGCGATCTGCTATGCGATCAGCCCGTGCAATTCAAAACACGCCAAGTAAAAGGGCCTCCTCTGCAGCCCTTCCACAAACCACTCATTTAAAGGCTGGGCTCTGGGGGGGAATCAGWGTTAAATTAGCATTTAACAGAGCTGAACGCCTTTCAGCTGTGGCACACGCGCCACAAAATGAAATTTAGTTCCTCCGAGATCAAAAGCAGCACAGATTTCAGACCAGCTCTCTGCTTTACCTGCGCTGGACACAAGCCATAAGACTACAGTGGCTTCACCTGAATTATTCTCTAGGCTTTGATCTGTTCTGCCTGGCTCATGAATTCAATCTAAGTGTTATTATTTTGCTCCTGTCAGGCCAGGATTGCATCTATAGTTGTTTCTGGGTGCCAATCGGTGATAAATTTAACTAATGCAAATAAACAGAAACCCTCTCTTCAAATAACAAATATCACTATTTCAATCCAAATCTCCTCCCCCAGACAAAGCTCACGTCTTTGGCCCTATTCTGCTTTTGTGTTGCTCCAAAATGCCTAATCATAAGGAGTAACATAACACTGCGCTTAAAATACATCATGGTTATTCGGCAGCAAGGCTTGAAATACCATTTTGACRAATCCAGCACGCTGAAAGACAGGAGCAGCCTCCTACTGCGTTCGAAATAGCTGCACGGCTCTGCACGGCGCCCCTGGAAGCCTGAACTGGCTTGGGCTCCCTCGCTTCCCCTGCCCGTGCCCTCTGCAGGGCCCCAGCCCCGGCACAAGGAACCCAAATTCATCCCTCAGTTATTAATTCACAGGAGGTTCAAGTCTCCCTTTTAGCCCGCTTCATCCTCCACCAAGCAAAGCTACGAGAGGCACTGARAATGCTTATTGCCTAGTAAGTGTTTAGGAGTTTTCAGAATTTAAGAGAGAGGTTGACTTAGTCAAACATTGCGTGTGAGAATTTCTTAGACCAGAAGTACAACAACGTCAACAAAAAAGGCAGGGGGCTTATAAATAGTGTTTTTTGCTATAAACAGTACTTTTTGCAAGGAAYGCACGGGAACGTTTCCTGCGGATGGCTCTGCCGGAGAGCCCTCAGCGCTGCCACAACTCGGGCTAGGAGGCTCAGCCTGCCCCAAGCCACGCATCCCGGGGTCAGCTCCAAACACAAGGAGGTACCTAGGGCTTTCACAGCAATCTGGCGGGTCAGCGGCGGGGGGATGTTGATGCAAACCAGATCCACGTCCTGGTGCAGCAGCACGTCGTCGCTGCGGCTCGTGTAGAAGGCGATGTTCATTTCCTCGGCCAGCTGCTTGGCCTCCTCCTCAGTCTTCCCCCAGAGCGCCTCGATGGAGAAGCCCTCGGCTCTCAGCAAGGGCACCAGGACGCGGGCGGCGCTGCCAGTCCCGAACACCCCCACGCCCGGGAGCATTTTCATTCCGCCTCCCCTGGAGCATCAGGGCCCAGCGCAGGCGTCGCACGAGGCGCTGAACTCCGCAGCTTTCCGGCTCCACCACAGCTCCTGGAACATGGAAAGCGACAGGTGAGTATCAGCAGCGGGCACGTTTGGACATTAAACACGTGAGATCCAAAGTCACCTTTTATCACCCGTGTGGCACGTAAAATATTRAAGATCCTCACCAAGAAAACAAGAAAAATAATAATAAAAAAGGAATAAACCCCTTGCGATTCTTGGAGATATAACATTAAGGGAATGAGCTAAACTCTCCTAATGCAGAGGACAGGAAGAATGATAAGAGAGCAGTTTGACAACGTCATGAGTTTCTGCCGGGCTTCAGAACACAGGAAGCACATCCAGGAACGCACGGGAGCGTGCCAGGACAGGGCAGAGAAGCCACGGCACCGGCTGGGACCCAGCGGGGACAGGACACGCAGTCTGCAACATCAGCAGTAAGGGCAGAGCTGCTGAAGTTGGGACAATGTCCCTAAATAAGATAAAGGTATTACCTCATCTCGCAACCCTTTATTTTTCCCAGCTGTATCAGTTGTCCTAATAGACAAACTTTGGAGCACATGAACCTGTTTGTTTCCCTACCAGCCCCAAACTAAACATGCCAGCTGAAAACAACTATTTTTGAGTTTAACAGTTGTGCCCGGCAGTTAAGGCACTCCAGAGAAAGTTTAAAAAAAAAAAGAAAAGAAAAAAAAAAAGGAAAGCTGGGATTCACTGGGCGTGTTTAGGAAAGCCGGGATTCACTGGGCATGTTTAGGAAAGCCGGGATTCACTGGGCATGTTTAGGAAAGCCGGGATTCACTGGGCATGTTTAGGAAAGCCGGGATTCACTGGGCATGTTTAGGAAAGCCGGGATTCACTGGGCGTGTTTAACCTGGAGAGAAGGAGGCTGAAAGGAGACATCGTGTCCCTTTTAAAACACATGGAAAGATGCTTTGAAAGGGAAAAGGACTTTCTTCTACCTGCGTCCATTGTGGGTACTTCAGGTTTTCCTCAACTCTGGGCCGCTTAAAAAAATATCTCCTGCCCATGACATTTAGGGAATGCAGGCTCTCCCGTGCAGTTATCACAGTTCCTATACACAAACACTTGGTCCAGGCCAAGAACTTTAAAAAAAAAGATCATTATTAATAATAATGATAAATGAATGATAAATTCATCCCTTCAGATGCCCACTTGTGCGTCAACGAAAGACAAAACGTCTTTCAGRTGGAGACTCTACGGTACCAGGAAAAACAACCCCCGAGTCACCCCACCAGCAAGGAGGGACAAGGTATTCTTGACAGGGACAGAACAAAGCTCAGCTCCCCGTCTCCCCATCCTAAAACGCTGCCCTACAATGTGCAAAAGCAAATCCTGACACACTAAGTACTAGCACGTAAGGCAAAGGACCCATAGGGAGTATAYGCTATTAGCATGCAACCATATAAGTTTCCATATATATGCTTATATGCATATAAACATTTAAGGATGCGATAWAATGTTGTGAAACAGTCACTGAATTCATTTGTGAAGGACTGTTCATGACTGTTTTCTGTAAACCAAATGAACAAAAATCACCGTCCGTGCAGCCGTCGGGCTCTAGGTATAAACCCTGGAGTTGCCCCTCGCATCCGTGCGGGTTCCCAGCGGAGCAAGAGCCCGTGGCAGAGGGATTTCTTCTTTTTGGGACACACGAACTCAACGCGCTGGGGCGGGYGCGCGCCTGCTTGCTGAGGGGGGCACAGGGGGAAAAACTACGGCACACGGAGCAGAAGCTGAGCACAGGAGCGCTCTGGAAAGGCGGAAACGGGCGAACTGTTTGAAGCTGCTCCCCAAGCGGGCAGGGGACGTGCCTCGCGAGGAAGGCCATCCCGCACGGCGTGCCCCAAGCAACCAAACACCCCAAGGAGGCGGCTGCCCCGCTCCCA